CGTCCGTGGCTCGGGGCGTAGGCGTCGCGTCCCCTCTCCCTGTGGCGTCCGTGGCTAGGAGGATAGACGTCGGGGCCCCTCTCCTTGAAGGCGCCCTGTCTGCTGTTGGAGTAGAGACTGTCCTTGCCCCGGCGTGTGCTGTGGGAGCAGTGTTCGGAGTAGCCGCCCTCGTCGTCTTCGCAGATCTGTGGGCGGGGGAGGAACGGGGTGTTGGTGGTGTTCTTTAGCTGTTATTGTCGGTCTGGTTGTGATTACTCTTGTTATTGTTATTAGTCTTGTTACTGTGGGAGCGGTGGTCTTTGTAGATCTGGTTGGTGGGTGGGTGGGTGGGGTTATTGTCGTTCGTTTTTTGTTGTTATTGTTATAGATAGTATTTTTTTTTTATTTTTGTTGGTGTCGACTTTCTGTTGTTTTCGTCGATGTCATACTTATTGTTGTTGCTATTACTCTTGTTATTGTTGTTATCGGTGCTGTTGTGTTTGTTATTGTCTCTTTTATAGCTGTGTGTTGTGATGGTAATAGATACTGTTATGAAAGTAAATGTCGCTGCTATCATCAGTACTACCACCACCATCATCATCATCCTATCACTTAACCAATATTACAATTATCGTATATTCACCATTATCATCACCATCATTCTCATCCTCATCTCATCAATCAATTGGCATAAAATAGGTGGCGAAGGGAGGGGGAGGTGAGGGGAGAAAAGGTGGTGAAAGGATGGGGGAGGGAGGAGGAGGAGATATAGAAAGACGGGGGAAGAGGGAGACAAGCTTAAAGAAGGAGCGAAGGAACCCTCGAAGGACTCGACTCACCTCGCACGTCATCCCGTCCTTCTCGACCTCCTTGCACTTCCCGGCGCCCTCCTCGTCCCCCTTGTACTGGGCGGCCGGCCTCGACTCCGATCTGTGGTCGTCCTGCCTCGGGGAATATCTGTGGTATCGGCGGTCGTCGTGGTCGCCGTCGACGTGTCTGTGGTCGTACTGGGGTCGTCGCCGCTCTCCGTGGGCGCGGGACGAGTCGTAGCTGTGATCCCCCGAGTCGTCGTAGGAAGGGCGAGGTCGTCTCTCCTCCTGGTGCGTCGGCGCGTATGAGTAGTCGTCCTCCCTCTCTTCCTGCTCCTCGCCCTGCTGCCGATACTCCTCGTCCCTCGGGGAGTGGCTCCCGGCGCCATAAGGGCGGCGCTCCTCGTACTCGTCGTAGGAAGGTCGCCCTTCGTGATACTCCGGCTGGGAGGGTCTTATTTCCTGGTACTTGGGGCTGGAGGGTTTCTTAAGGCGGGGCGACGGAGGGGTTTCGTCGGAGGCTTCGCGGGGACGGGAAGCCTGGGACGCTTGGTGGACGGGCTTGAAGTCTCCTGGAGGCTGGGACTGGAGCTTTGCCAGGGGTGGGGGAGGAGGGGGGAGGGGGGAGAGAAGGGGGAGAAGGGGGAGGAGGAGGAAGAAACGAAGGAAGTCGGCGAAGTCCTCGCGGGGCCGGAGTGCTGGCCGAGGGAGAGAGGGTTGTCGGGAATGAACCCCTGCGCAGACGAGTCCTCCGATCCCTTCCCTCCGTGGGCGTGCGGCTGCTGCTGCGAAGAGGCCACGCCCAGCCCGAAGTGAGGCCCGGCGAGGTGCCCGATCCCTCCCGCGCCCGCGAAGCCCTGCGCGAACTGCCCCGGGTGAGCCGCGAGGCCTTCGGAGGCGCTCGTCTGCAGACCGACGTCCTGCAAAGGAGGGAAAGCGCATAAAGGTCGTGTCACACTTGGACTTTTCCCGCACTGCCTTTCCGCTGGCACCACGGGAACCGGGGTCATTTTGGCGCGCGTCCACACTAACGAGGAGAACCACGGAAAGTCCGACGAAAATTGTAAACACAGCACGATGGCTCCAACCCCTGCACAGGCTCTGGTGATGATGGACGTTATTCAGGCTATGTGGCGGCAATTTAATGCGAAACACCGAATGTGTAATGCTAAATAACACCGTCTTCTCGCTGTTCTCATCTAGTCAGGGGTTGGGGAAACGCGGTCACAAATGTAAACAAACAGGCGAGCAGCTAGTTACCAACTTGTATATGTTATCATTAAATACAAGAGAGAATTTTAATAATATAGCAAGTTATTTCACATCCAAACGGGATCAAACAAACACACAGCACGTCCATACATCAACTGATACTCAATACCCTTCCTAAAAGCAGAGAGAATTGATAAATAAACAAATAAATGAATAATAATAATAATAATAATAATAAAAACTTACGGTGAAGAACTGCCCGAAGCCAATGTCCTGCATGAAACCGAGGTCATCTGACGGCGCGGCGGACTGTTCCTCGTGATGGGTGCCAGCTGCCTCCACCTGGCCACCTGCACCTACTACCACGCCACCTGCTGGGGCCACCTGGGGAGTGCTGAGTGTGTGTAGTGCAGTTCATATTCCTGTTCAAGGTTTCTTAACAATGAAACGATGAAGACTGAGGATTTGAAAGAGACTGTATGTGAGAGAGAGAGGGGGGGAGGAGAGGAGAGAGGAAGAGAGGAGAGAGAGAGAGAGAAGAGAAAGAGAGGAGAGAAAGAGGTGAAAGAGAGAGGAGAGAGGAGAGAGAGAGAGAGAGAGAGAGAGAGAGAGAGAGAGAGAGAGAGAGAGAGAGAGAGAGAGAGAGAGAGAGAGAGAGAGAGAGAGAGAGAGAGAAAGTGTGTGTGAAGAGAAGAGAGAGAGAGAGAGAGAAGGGAGGGAGGGGGGGAGGGAGAAGAGAGAGAGTAGAGAGAGAGAGAGAGAGGGGGAGAGAGAAAAGTGAGGGAGAGAGAGAGAGAGGGGGGAGGGAGAGCGAGAAAGAGGGAGTGTTCGAGGGCGGGAAAATTGATTGCTGGAGACAGATACACGCTCGCACCCGCGCACACGTACATAAAATTCTCTCTCTCTCTCTCTCTCTCTCTCTCTCTCTCTCTCTCTCTCTCTCTCTCTCTCTCTCTCTCTCTCTCTCTCTCTCTCTCTCTCTCTCTCTCTTCTCTCTTTCTCTCTTCTCTCTCTCTCTCTCTCTCTCTCTCTCTCTCTCTCTCTCTCTCTCTCTCTATATATATATATATATATATATATATATATATATATATATATATGTGTGGTTGTGTGTGTGTGTGTGTGTGTGTGTGTGTGTGTGTGTGTGTGTGTGCGCGCGTGCGTGCGTGCGTGCGTGTGTGTATGTGTGCGCGCGCGTGTGTGTGTGTGTACGCGTGTGTGTGTGTATGTATATCTGTACATATATAAGTTTGTTTGTGTGTACATATACATACATGCAGACACACATATGCGTCGGAAAGGTGAGAGAGGGAGGAGATACGGGCGAAGGGTCACGCACATCGAATGACCCAAAACAAAGGATGCAAGAAGAGGAAAAATAAGGAAAGACAGAAAGAGAGAAAGAAATAAAAGAAAGCAAGAAAGAACTAGGATAAAGATAAAAAAAAGATGAAGACAATAACGTTGAGGCGAAGGATGAATAAAAAAAGAGAAAACGAAAAAAAGCAAACATAGAGAGATCACTTTATACACCGATGTTAAAGCAAGGAAAAAAAGCGTATACATATGAATATATTTCCATACACCTTTTATGAATATGGTCAACAAATACAAACATCGCACAAGAGTGGAAACTAATCGCATTATCAACACCCGTTTCGTTCGCAGAAAAAGAAAAACAACGATGTCCCTCCATAGTGAGAAGACAATTTAAACCCCGAAAAAAAAAATCCTCGTGCTTTGGAGATGAATGTACTTGATCACAATGACAACACAAACAATGGCAGTAAATGAAAGAGAACACAAAGCGCCATCTATTTTTTTTCTTTTCTTTTCTTCTTCAAAGCCGCTGGGGTTAAACCGTGTCTTCGGGATACACTAAGAAGGAGAATGTTTTCTGTTTCGTCTTTGTGTCTCTGCTGAATTCTTAGAGGTCTTTTGTTCTTTGTTATTTTCTTCTTATCATTTTTCTAAATGAGTTAGGCGAGCGCAAAAGTTGTCCTTTCTACTTTTTGATTTCCTTTGTTTAATGGTGTTGTGTGTGTGTGTGTGTGTGTGTGTGTGTGTGTGTGTGTATGTGTGTGTGAGTGTTGTGTGGTGTGTATGTGTGTGTGAGTGTGTGTGTTGTGTGTTTGAGCGTGTGTGTGTGTGTTTGTGTAGTGTGTTTTGACTGTGGTGTGTGTGTGTGTTTGAGTGTGTATGTGAGCGTGTTTAAGTGTTCGTGCGTGCGTGTGTGCGTTGTGTGTTGTGTGTTTTGAGTTGTGTGTCGTTTGAGTGTGTGTACGTGCGTGTGTGTGTTCGCTTTATCTCTATCTCTTTCTCATCCCGCTTATCTGATTCCCTTCTCGACTTTACGTCCAAACATTTTGACGAATCTACCTTTTATCTCAGCTACAGATCCATCCGAAATGTTTCATCCAATACCTCCATATTTTTTCAAGTCACTCATTTACCGTCTTCGTTACCCTTCGCTCCTGCTTCCCCTTCCCTCCGAAATATAACAGTATATAAAAGGAAAAGAAAAAGGGAAAAGAAAAAAAAACGGGGAATAACATAAGTATCGGATCCGTATCCAGGTAATGGAGTTGGAATGCTTATGGATGAGCGTTCGATCCTCTTTGCCCAGATGCTCTTCTTTTTCTTCCTTTCTTTCTTTCTTTACTTTTTTTCTTTTATGTCTCGAGTATATCATCTAAGGGTCTGACTCAATTAAGTGCATTAAAGATTAATTAGACTTTACCGTCAGATCTTCTCTCTTAATTTGAATATATATTAGACTTAATTGGGGCTTAAATTAGGAGGAAGCCGCGGAGACATATTTGGCAAGCGCGAGTAGGCAGAATGGTCGGCCTTAAGAACTGAACATAAGAAGGAACAGTGTATCATGTTCAGCTTGATATACTGACAAGATTGGGTCACTCCCCGTAGTATAAATCTTTATAAAACCCACAGCAGGTCTTAGAGAGGTTCCTGTTATGATTTACTAGGTCTTAGGACTAGGTCGCCGCCACGTGTCTGCTCAAACCAATACTAGATCCTAAAGACCTTGAATGTTTGATCATTTCATGTTATCCTCTTAAACCATTACGTCTATCCCGCTGAATGACCATAATCTGCTCATCTTTATATCATTACATCTCATCAAATTATTACCCCGTTTATAATCTTCCTCCATCACCTCCTCATCTTTATCATACGTTGCTAACTTCTTACATCTTCTTCGTTCCTTAGTTTTCTCTTAGTTTCCCAATACCTTTATTTTGTATTCTTCCTGGTCTCCCTTCGTTTTCCCCTTTTCTTCGTTTCCTACTTTTATTTCGTATTCTTCCATTCTTTTCTTCCCTTGCCCTACTTACTTGCGTCAGCGGCGGGGTGCTCATCCCCGAAGCCGCGGCGGAGAGGAGCAGGGCGAGGAGGTATTTGGGCGCCATGCCGGAGCCTCCTTCGGTGTCCGTAGCTGAGGGTAGAAGGGTTGGCGGTGAGGGCGGTGTTGGTGGTGAGGGCCATGTTGGCGGTGAGGGCGGTGTTGGCGGTGAGGGCGGTGTTGGCGGTGAGGGCAGTGTTGGTGTTTGGTCTTGCAGTGCGTGTAACTCCGGTTTGTGGTTAGTTAGTGTGGAGAGTTAGGTCTCCGATGTGAGGAATGGGCGCTAATGGATTTGGATGTGCTTCAGTGAATATGCCATGCTTGAATGCAGTCCGTCGTGATTCCGACTTTAAGGTTATGTAAGATTATAATAAAAGGAAGTGACACTAGCTTAGAATAGAGTGAAGTGACACTAGCTTAGAATAGAGTGAAGTGACACTAGCTTAGAATAGAGTGAAGTGACACTAGCTTAGAATAGTGACACTAGAGAATAGAGTGAAGTGACACTAGCTTAGAATAGAGACTACACTAGCTTAGCATTCCACTAAGCGTGAAGTTATTTGAGTGAGGTTCGATGATAGACACAACTATCATTCTAAAGTAGACTTAAGGTCCGTGGGTTCGATGGCAGTGAATGGCTTAAACGTGGAGAGCGGGGGATCGACTCCGCACAATGAGATTAGTAAAGGGCCCTCCGCTGCAACATAAAGGCCATGGAATGAATCAACACAAGAGGATTAAGGGTGGCTAATGGTCGGACAAAGGGGGGAAGGGTCATTACCAGAACCAGAACTACATTTTTCTTTTTTTTCTTTTTTTTTGATCTGACGAAAAAATATTCTTTCTGTCTTGTTAACCATCAGGGGGCAGTCGATTTGGATTTATTCACGGGTAACACAGAATGTTATATAGTTTTATTAACAAGAGTGATAATGAGGTTCATTGCAGTTCTGATGAGGATATATTGGTGGTGGCAAACAGTAACGCTGCTACCTGGAGTTTGCCTTCCCCTGCACTTTCTCTCTCTCGGGTCTGTGTGTCTGTCTGTTTGTATCTCTCTTTCTGTATTTCCTTCTCTCTCTCTCTCTCTCTCTTTCTCTCTGTCTCTAAGCTTGGTTGTGTTAATAATGATCAAACGAATAGTAGTTATTTCCAATGCTATATCATACTACCCTTTGTTTTGTCGTCCTTCTTGTTATAAACTTCATTTAATTTCAATCCACTTTCGTTATAAATCTACCGAGCCAATTGTGTAACCAATCTCACAACAGGATATGATATACAAGTTTTTAAAGATGATATATTTTATTGTTAGATGTGTAACAGCGAGATACAACAAGTTTTTATTTTTTATTATTTTAAGTCATCGTGATCGTTTCTACTTCTACCTTCTACTTCTCTCACGCAAGAATGATTTTCATATAAATGTTTCATTGTTATGACCGATCATTGTGTGTGTGTGTGTGTGTCGTGTGTGTGTGTGTGTTGTGTGTTTGTCTGTGTGTGTGTGTGTGTGTGTTGTGTGTGTGTGTGTGTGTGTGTGTGTGTGTGTGTGTGTGGTGTCTGTGTTGTGTGTGTTGTGTGTGTGTGTGTGTGTATGTGTGTGTGCTGTGCATTTGCAGTACATTGCATTTGTTTTGTGTGTTTATGTACTTCTACCAGCTTATGTTCTACCCACCCCCTGACCCCCCCCCCCTCCCGCCCGCCGCCGCCGCCCGAGGATCGAGCGCCTCCGAGCCAACCCTGACGGAGGAGCGGCTGTCACGCCCTTGACTCGTCTGATGGTGACAGTGGCTTTCGGATGAGACGCCGCTCTGGCCGGGGGGAGCGATCGGTGTCATTGGAAACCTTTTTCTTTATTTATTCTTTATTTTTGATGAAAGCTAAGCCTGATGAAAAGTTTTATACCAGCAGCGCTATGTCCGTATGCATATGTAAATACGAGTGTGGTGTGTGTGTGTGTGTGTGTGTGTTGTGTGTGTGTGTGTTGTGTGTGTTGTGTGTGTGTGTGTGTGTGTGTGTGTGTGTGTGTGTGTGTGTTTGTGTGAATATGATGTATATGTATACATATATATGTATATATATATGTGTGTGTGTGTGTGGAGGTATGTATGGATGCGGGGTATGCATGTATGTATTTACATATACTTGCAAATCTAAATCTAAATAGGCTATTATATAGGTATATGTGAAATGTGTTTAAAAATGTATATATGTAGGCAAGTAAATATTCATTACGCAGAGTGAAATGCTAAACTCTAATTACAAAAAATGATGCGGTTTATTACCCGTCTCGTCCTATTTCCTTTTTTTCAGACCGTCATCCCCATTTCAAATATCTCGACTTTAACGACCCCCCCCCCCAAAAAAAAAAAAAAAAAAAAAAAAAACTTTCAAATTCTCGCTTTTTGAATTCGTACTCGCCCAAAAAAATACATCTAATGCCAATAATGAGACGGCTTAATTGGGCGATTACATGTCCTGGAGTGGGAACGGCAGACTGAAAAGGACTGAAAAGTTATATTTGGGATTTGACGTCACAGTTACCCAGCATTTTCTGATTTTGGACTGAATGGCGTCAATTATTCAGATTATCTTTTTTCCCCCAAATCAATAAATAATCAGGTATAATAGATATAATATAATAAAATAAATATATATATAATATTATAAATAATATAAATAATAACTATTATTATATATTATATATATAACGATAATATATATAATAATGTGCGTGTGAGGACCACGTGTGTAAGAGTGAGGTACGTGTAGTGGGCTAGTGTCGAGTGTCGTGTGTTGTAGAAAGTAGATATAGTGTAGTGTACTCAATGAGAGTGTGAGTGTTCTCTCGCTCAAAAGAGGGGAAGATAAGGATAGAAAGCAAGCTAATTATGTGAGAGAATGTGTGAGAGCGTTGTGCGTGTGCGGCGGAAGATGTGTATGTGTGTGTGAGTAGTTTGTGTGTGAGTGTTGTGCGACGATGTGGTGTGTGTGTGGTGTAGTATGTATTAATAGTAATAGATAAAAAATACATACAACTCAGTAAGATAAATAATATAAATAATCTTTATATATATACGTGAGTATAATATATATAATGACAAATTAATATATATATATATAATATATAGTCAGTGAGTAAAGGGTAAATAATTAATACATGTGAATAATGGGTATATATACAAGTGCACTAATAAGATAACTATATAAATTTGAGATACTAATTAATAGTTCCATCAGCTGAGACTAAGCTATTATATGAATAAGTTTCTTGGATAATCAGTAGTATATATATACATGTATATATATAATAGTATATAGTTATATATATATATACTTATATATAATATATATATAATACTATATATATGTGGTGTGTGTGTGTGTGTGTTGTGTGTGTGGTTGTTGGTGAGTGTCATGATTAGTAGGTGAGTGAGAATAAAATAAATTATAAAGTTTTATATCGTATAAATAAGTTAGTAATACTATAAGTATAGGGAATAGTTATTAATATAACCATAAGTATTTACGATCCATGTTTATAGATAATTAAGGATATAAATCACTATTAATAACATATTCATCGAGTACAAACGGTAGTTATCTATATATATAAATAGACAAATGAAATTTATTAGATTTTAAAATACACACGCCTACGCATTTTACACATTACACACACACAACACACTAATGTGTCAACACACACTCACACACCAACAACTTATAACACACACACGCACACACACACACACACACCACATCACACATCAACTACCCATAACTAACACACACATTATATTATATATTATATATATATATTATTATAATATATATATATATATTATATATTAATATATATACTCATATATAATTAATATATTAATAATATATATATAATTATATATATATATAGCGCATAATGATGCAATATCCACTCCTCGGGAATGAAACATGCTATACCGGCAAACGAGCAGCCTTTCATATCGGTCCTTTTGGCACTCGGTGATACTCATAACTCGTGATACCATGGACGATAAGCCGAAGCCACCAGGATACATCT